CCCGGAGCAGCTGGTTGTGGAATGAACCAGAGCAACAGAGGCCAGGCCCTGAGCAGCCAGGTCCGGAACAGCTCGCTCCTCGCCTGCCCCTGCCCCACGGCTGCTTCTCAGACATGGCTGGAAACTTTCGTGGGAACTTGAGGGTCTGCTGAATCAAGTGATGAAGGCTTAGATCTGGATGTGTTGAGTTAGTTTAGGACTGGGGTGTTGATCTGTGAGTGCCTTGGGTGGGGCCTGGATGAGGCTAGTGGACCTATTGGGAAATGTCTTTTGTGTGAAGTGTATCATTGGGCATGTGGAGGTATTATTGATATGAGAAAATGCTAAGTAACTGATTTACTATCTGAAAAGGGATTTACTATTGGGGAAATTGAGGGAAGAAGAGACTGATCATAAACTGCACCTATGGATGAGGACAATGGGGGATGGGGAGGGGGCAGAGGGTGGGGTGGGAACCTGGTGGAGGGGGGAAGAAATGAGGAACCTTTGTAATAATATGAACAATAAAGATTGATTAAAAAAATAATAAATAAATGTCATTTACAAATAATCAGTTTTGACTAATTCTGTAAAGGTATAAGATTATCAGAGGATAATTTTTTAAATATATTTTTATTGAGTTTTTACAGAGAGGAAGAGAGAAGGATAAAAAGCTAGAAACATCGATCAGCTGCCTCTTTCACACCCCCTACTGGGGATGTGCCACAACCAAGGTACATGCCCTTGACCGGAATCGAACCTGGAACCTTTCAGTTTGCAGGCCGACACTCTATCCACTGAGCCAAACTGGTTAGGGCTCAGAAAATCGAAAAAGTTATGTTGGATCTCTGGATAAAAAACCAAGTGGTGTACTTGCTGTTATCTCATGGAATGATATTTGTATCAAAAAAGATTCACCATATTAATGCCCTTTCCAGGGAAAATGGGAGATGGAAAACTATTAGAAAATAGAAGGAACAGGAGGAGGAAAAACTAGGCAGAAGAAAAGTAGCATTTACCCAAGGAAGCCTTCATCCAATGCCTAAATGCTCAGAAGAGAAGGCAAATGATTTAAAAGAGATAATTAAGAAACCAATACATTTTTTAAGTCAAGAAAAATGGTATGTTCTGTTTTGCTTTGCAAATTCTAAAATATGAGGATGTTTACACAAACAGATATAGTGTTAAACTCTCAGCCCAAGGGCTGGGCTGTCTCTTATTTACATTTGATTTTACAGCACCTAACATTGTACCTGGAACATACAGGTGCACAATACATAGTTGATGAATCAATGAACTACAGAGTTTTCTAAACACTAAATAGGTTATCTAGTCTTCATGTAAAATGTAATATTTACTTTCTATTATATATATGAAAGTTTCTATTATATAACACTAATCATAAGAGGTGACAGTAGTAACTCACTCATTTTTTTTCACATCATCATTTCTATCTTGAATACAATTTGATGAAAAATAACTACTGTGTTCACTAAGTTACAAAGAGTTGAGATAGAATGTATTAATGAAGAAACCTCTTGAATTACTGAAGTACAAGCATAATTGCCTTCTTAAATTATAAATGTTTAAGAGGGTGTGATATACTTTTTCAAGCAATGCAGTGTTTAGTGAGTAGAACTTATATATACATATATAAGAGTACCTAGAAATTTGGGGGATTTTCCTCTTTATTATCCAAGGGTAAATAAGAACAATTTTTAAACATTGTGTTTTTTTAATGTCCTATTATTCAATACTACTGTTCCCCAGAAATTGTATAGATTATGAAATTATTATCGCTTTATTTGGGAAGTTATTTCCAGGTGTGAGAATTTAGCTTTATAAGAGCCTACCAGATTTGACCAGTAGATAATTTATTCAATAGAGATACTAAGTTAAATAACTCATAAATAGATCTCAGTAATGTGTCTTGATTTTCTCAAGTCTTCACCATTGTTTTAATGACCTATAAATAGTTAATATTTGCCAACAGGTGAGGAAAATAAGACAAAAGAAGGGCCATTGCCCAGACACTTTTAATGTGGGAATGTGAGAAGGTGTAAGTAAACATACAATGCTTTTGTCCAACCCTCCTGTTATTACCTGCTTCTTCTTCATACAGGATCTACACACCTGGTCTTAGAGCTCCCTGGCTGTTCATGCAGGATGGTCTGCATGAACAGCCAGCTAAACAGGAGGCTCATTTCCTATGTGGAAAGCAGGAATCTCCTTGGGTGATTCTGTAACTAAGTTCTGGTCTTACAATTTGGGAATACAGCTCATTTCATGCTATTTTCATATTTACATTGCCATATTAGACTCATTGCTTTTTTACAGTAGTAGATTATGAAGGAACATGACTTCAGCTTCGCAGTTTCTTTTCCAATTACAATCTAAATTTGTTTAAAATGAACCATTAATATGAGCACAGGGGAATTCCCGGCTGGAGGCCGGAACCCCGCGGGTGCCACGGAGTGAGACCCTCGAGAGGTCTGAGAGTCAGTGGAGCAACCCCGGCCACCATGGAGCCTGGGGAGAACCGGAGCTCCTGGTGTGGCGCCCAGAGGCAGTCGCCTCGGACCCCCCACTGCCTGTGGGGCTGGAGGTGAAGTTGGGGGCCCTGCTGCTCCTGCTGGTGCTCACGCTCATCTGCAGTCTGGTGCCCATCTGTGTGCTACGCCGACCCAGAGTGAACCCCGAAGCCTCGGCCTTCTGCCAGAAAGCCCTGAGTCTGGTAAGCTGCTTTGCCGGGGTGTGTGTGTGTGTGTGTGTGTGTGTGTGTGTGTGTGTGTGTGTGTGTTTCTGGCCACCTGCCTCCTGGACCTGTCTCCCTGGCAGCCCTGCACATGACGCTTCAGGAAGTGGCCAAGAGCTTCTTCCTGGTCCTGGTGATGGAGCAGATCACGCTGGCTTACAGGGAGCAGTGGTGCCACCACCTCGAGAGGAGACAAGGGCGCTGCTGGGAACAATGAATGGTGGGCCGCAGCACTGGCACGACGGGCAAGGCCTCCCACAGGCGATCGGAGCTCTGGCAGCTCCCTCAGCCCTGCGTGCGTGTGTGCTGGTCTTCTCCCTGGCTCTGCACTCGGTGTTCGAGGGGCTGGCGGTGGGACTGCAGCGAGACCCGGCTTGGGCCATGGAGCTGTGCCTGGCTCTGCTGCTCCACAAGGGTATTCTGGTCGTCAGCTTGTCCCTGAGGCTGCTGCAGAGCCACCTGCGAGCAAAGGTGGTAGCTGGCTCTGTTATTCTCTTCTCATATATGACACCTCTGGCATTGGGCTGGGTGCGGCTCTGGCAGAATCAGCTGGCCCACTGCACCAGCTGGCACAGTCTGTGCTGGAGGGCATGGCAGCTGGCACCTTTCTCTGTATCACTTACTTGGAAATCCTGCCCCAGGAGCTGGCCACTTCTGACAAGAGGATCCTCAAGGTCATTCTGCTCCTATCAGGCTTTGCCCTACCGACTGGCCTACTCTTTATCCAAGTCTAAGAGGCTCCAAGAGGGGCAGGGGGAGACTGGGAACCAGGTGCCCTTGACCCACCTTCCCTCCTCAAGAATGGGGAAGGGAGTATTGAGGTCCAAAGAGTTCTGAGAGGTGAGGATGGAGCTTTGGGGACAATCTGACCAATGGGAAAGAAGTGGGTAGACAAAAGTCTGATCCCCAGGCTCAAAGGACAAAACAAGATCAAGTCACTAAAGACATGATCAAGAGGCATTAGTATTCGGGAAGACACAGCACTAGAATTGGGCAGACACTACCCAGGGACAAACTGATACTGGGGAGGCTTTGGGATGAAAGTAGAGAGGACACAGACCCAGAATCAGCAATTCTCTTGTTTCTAGCCCATTTCAGCTCTCTGTCATTAGGAGTGGATCCCTCCTAATTTTCTTACTCCTATTCTCACATCTTTCTCCTTCCCTTCACCCAAGACACTAGTGCCAAGTGGCCTCTTTCTGCCAGTATTGGTACCTTCTCTGGCTTCACCAGTTCTGCTCACTCTATTTTTAAAGTGCCAAATAAAATGCCCTCCCTCTTTCTCAAAGCACAGTGATGCACTGAGCCCTTGCTCAGCACCTCAGTGAAGGGGTCCTTTGGCTCCTTATTTTACTCCCAGATTCCGGTGTGGGGCAGAAATGTTTGTTGAATTGGAGTGGAGGGAGGGTTGGAGGATCCGAGGGCCCTACCTTTGCTGCACTCTAGGAATACTGAACATGGATATATGGTGCCCATATGCCACAGGTGATAAACATTGAGCCAAAATTTTTTATATCATAGAAGTCCACGGGAGGATAGGGAATGTTCACCCCCAGGGTTAGTGGGGGTGGCAGTGGGGGGCTGGGCAGAGGGCCATATTCTCCAGAATCGATTTTACTTACTGATCTGTTTTGGTATATGTTCCCCAAATAAAAGATGTTTCTCTGAAAAAATAATAATAAAAAAATAAAAAATAAATAAAAATATGAGCACAACTGTCCAAGTATAAGTATTTCAACTTCAGAAATAAAGTTTATGTGTCTTATCTTACATAGCTGATTGTATAAGCTTATTTTTTTCCTTGCCAATAGCACTAAAAGTGAAATCATTTAAATTAAATGAGTTTGATTGCTACATTTTGTCTAAAAGTGTTATTTACTCTAGTGCTACTAGTACCCGACTTTTGCTGTATAAACAGTTTTAGTATTTTTCTGGTGGGCGACACAACTGCCTTATATTGATGTTGCTGACTAAAGCTCCCTTTTGTTATACCAAAAACCTTTAGATATTATTGATAGAGTTGCCTTTATTTGTTTCCTCCCACAAATGAAGCTGCTGCTTCTTACATCATAGGTGCAAAAAACCTTGCTTTTCTATGGCATCAGCTTAACTAGAAAGCAGAAAATAATTGGTGATAAAACAGATGAACAGTATATATTATGTATTTACAGATATACTTAGACACTTTAGTTGCAAATCTGAAATGATATAAGCCACTGCCTGCAACTTCATCTGTTCTATAAAAATGGGGATTAATACTTAACTATTAAGACACAGAAGAAATCGGGTTGTGTGGAGAGCCCATTTGAGTCAGAACTTTGTCCAACCACTGCAGTGGCCCGTGAAGATGAATCTCAATCCAGCAGGGGGTGCTCGTGACATCCTGGCGATGGTACTCAGCTCCCCAACCCTGGAAAGCAAGAGTGGAGCCAAGAGTGATTGTGTCAGACTTTGCAGTCAGCCTCCAGAGGCACAACACAGAGCTCAGTGGAGACTTAATCAAGGCAACAAAGTAGCTCTCAAGACCTGGGAGAATATAAACTATATTAAGTACAGGATAAGTTTTGCATCAACCAGACATCCTAAGATGAGTCCAAATCAATGCTTTTCTTTGGGTCACAACCAAATGCACGAACCTATACATGTTTAGGCTCTAGTCATGTCAGAAACAATGGCAAATCATTTTCTCCCCACAAGGGAAGAAACTTGAACTTATGTTCACTCCCATAAGGCTGAAGACAGTGTTTTGAACAAAATGGTAACTGCAGACCAAAGATGGATCTGAAACTTATAAAGGAAGAACTAGAGGATGCTCTTGATTTTTCAGGATTGATTTCAAAACTTATTCCTCCTGTTTCTCTGGCTCACTTTTAGCAATTTCCTATTTATTACCATTCATAGAAGAGGCAGCAAATAACTAACTAAATGAATAGATAAGTAAATAAGTTTGTATTTTTTTTCTCTGTATGAAAAGTTATTTTTAAAATGAGGACAGATCCAGTTAAGCATATTAGTTTTGTTATTGGGAAAATTGATTCTCTGTAAAGTTATTTGAAAGTTGGATTTCAGGAGTTGGGAATAGAGGTCTGAGTCCAAGCATTGAGAATTTAAACCTTCTCTCAAAGTGTGTAGTAGAGCTAAAGAAGAAGACAACCAACCAGGGGTGATCCATCTGAAATTGTAATAGGCTCACTAATAGAGGACAAAGTTAGAGATCACAACTCAAGCATAAGACCCTTTTCCTAACACTGCTACAAAGATGTTTGACATAAAGACTTGGGCTGAGCATGTTACGGAATGGGCTGCAAAGGATCCATATGGCTTCCTTACAAGTTATTTTGGCCCTTACTCCATTGTTTCTAGCAAGTGCTGTACTGTCCTGGAAACTGGCCAAGAAGATTGAGACCAGGGAAAAGGAGCAAAAGAAAAAACAAAAACACCAAGAAAATATTGCAAAAGCTAAATGACTGAAAAATGACTGCAGGAATGAACAGGCTCCGTAACCAGAGGAAACTCATTTGGGAAATTATGCAGCTTTGGAAGGACTCTGTAAGGTTTCTTTTCTGAGCATATGGAAGAATTGTGTTAGTTCTGACCACTACTGTAGCAACTTTTAGGGTTTTGTATAGAAGTCTATTGACAGTTCCTGTAAATTGACATTTATTATATTAAAAATGCTTTATAACTGACTTAGTCTTTTGCCATTTTGTAGCTTAAATCATCCTGTGGAGAAAAAAATGACTTTGGATTATGAACTCTGTTCAAATACTGACTCAAAAAAAAGGTTCCTGTTCTGGACAAAAGAGACCAAGAATGTAAAAATGAGAACTGTCCTGAGGGGTAAAGCATGCTTTGGCTTAAAAAGAGATACAGCATATTTATTATATATATTTTTTATCATTATTGCTTATGTCTTAGAATCATTTCTGGTTTTCTCAAAGCAAAATATTATTGATCAGCGAGTATTTCATTATCTACATTTTTCTCATTCTAGCTTTTGAGAAACTGATAATTATCAGAAATTCTGCCTTTTTAAAAATATAATTTTATAAAAAGTTCCCTCACCTTGATTATATAGAGTACCACCTACCAACAATTTTGTACTTTTAAACACCACCATTTACTTAGAGATGTCTTGTTGAGTAGCTTAACAATGTGATATAAAGCTTGCAGTAAAAATACCAACCCTTGAAAAACTTTGGAACCAGTTTATTCTTATTCGTTCTAAGAAGAAATGTGAAGTAGTTAAAATGTCTTATTTGATAATTTGCTGATTATATATTAGATACCACTTTTAATTTTTATTCCATTTTTTTAACTCATGTAGTGATGTTCTATAATTTTTGATTCAACAAGTTCACAGTGAAAATTAAAATTTCAATTTTTTTTAAGGAACTCATAAAGAGTAAGTCATTTCATAAATGGTAAAGAAAGGCTTAATATTTGGAAAATTTTGTTTGGTATAATAATTGGGTGAAAAAGATAAATTATGTCAAAATAAGAATATGTTGTAATCCTATATAATAAAAGCCTAATATGCTAAGTGTCTGTTGAACCAATCAAAATGTAATATGCTAATGCTAATAAGGCCACTCAACTGCTCACTATGATATGCACTGACCACCAGGGTCAGGTGCTTCAACAGGTAGGTTAGCTTGTTGCTGGAGGTTGGCCAATTGGAACCGAGAGAGGAGCGGGCCTAAGCAATCAGTTGGACATCCTCTGAGGACTCCTGGATTGTGAGAGGGTGCAGGCCGGGCTGAGGGACCCCCCCCCCCCCACACTGAGTGCACATATTTCATGCACCGGGCCTTTCATTAGAAATAAGAAGCTAAAGGATATTTCCTTCAGTTAAATGTAATTGAAACTTTTTACTACGTAACATGGCTTTTATAAATGCATGGTCCAATAATTTTACTCACTGTCAGTATTTAATAGCATTAATATTTTCCTCATTTCTGGTAATTAATTCTAAATTACAGAAATTATCCAACAGCTTTAATTTAAAAATGAAAGTAGATATTGATATAAAATTGGTACATTTTTACTTTTTAAAAAGTTAGATTTCAAACACCATGCTGCCTGATCACACTTTACATATGTGACTAGAAATTTCAAGTGGACCCTTGAAATTTGGAAATCGTAGCATTCTTTCCCTGCCCCATTCACTTTTTCATTTCTCCTACCCCTCCACCTACTCCTCCAGCCTGCTTACAACAGATTTTCTTTTTTCCTATTTTAATGAGAGAAAGGAAGCAATCAGAAGAGAATTTTCATAGCACTGCACCCACAGACTTGACCTTTCTACCTTTTACTATAGATTATCTGTGTTTCTAAATAAGCCATAAGACTTACTCACCTCTGGGAACAGCATTCCAGAAACTCTCCCCATTCTCTTTTTTCTTTCCATCAAATCTTCATCATGATGCTGAAATGTCTTCCATTTTCAAAATACTTCTCTTGGCATTACAACCACCACAGATTACCGTTTTATGTCTTTGACTCCCTTTGTAGCAAAACCCCTCAAAAACAGGCATCTACACTGGCTGTCTCAATTCCTCTTTGTCCATTCTCTCTTAAATCCATTATAATCAACATTTAACCCAGCCTTCAACACTATCGTTCTTATCAAATTAATGATTAGCTTTCAGTCTTTGTGTCACATGGACAGTATTTACTGTAGTTCATCCCCTCTCCTCCACAATGTATTTTCTTTTTTGGCTGAGAAAGGACCTTCCTTTCTTGGTTTTACTACTATTTTGGTGGTGGCACATTCTCAGTTTTCTTTGCTGGTTCTTTCTCTTCTCCACTATCTTTTCTTTCTTTCTTTCTTTCTTTTTTTCTTTCTTTCTTTCTTTTTTTCTTTCTTTCTTTTCTTTCTTTCTTTCTTTCTTTCTTTCTTTCTTTCTTTCTTTCTTTCTTTCTTTCTTTCTTTCTTTCTTTCTTTCTTTCTTTCTTTCTCCCTTCCTTCCTTCCTTCCTTCCTTCCTTCCTTCCTTCCTTCCTTCCTTCCTCCCTCCCTCCCTCCCTCCCTCCCTCCCTCCCTCCCTCCCTCTCTCTCTCTTTCTTTCTTTCTTTCTTTCTTTCTTTCTTTCTTTCTTTCTTTCTTTCTTTCTTTCTTTCTTTCTTTCTTTCTTTCTTTCTTTCTTTCAACACACCTTTATTGTCTGTCTCCATAGGTAATGCATATCCTATATAATAAAGAGGTAATAAGCAAAATGACAATCATGCTTTTGCACAAGATGGCCACGCCCATGTGGTCACATGATGGCTGGCAGGGGAGGACAGTTGGTGGTGATCAGGCCAGCAGAGAAGGCAGTTAGGGAGGGACCAGGTCTTCAGGGAGAGCAGTTAGGGGCAAGCAGGCTGGCAAGGGAGAGCAGCTGGAGGCAATTGGGCCAACAGGAGAGGGCAGTTGGGGGAAATTAGGTTGGCAGGGGAGAAGTTAGGCATTGATCAAGTTGGCAGGAAGAAGCCATTAGGAGCAATCAGGAAGGCAGGCAGGTGAGCAGTTGGGAGCCAGCAGTACTGGATTGTGAGAGGGATGTCCAACTGCTGGTTTAGGACCAATCCCTGTGAGTCCCAGATTGGAGAGGGTGCAGGTTGGGTTAAGGAACACCCCCCTTACTCAGTGCATGAATTTCATGCACCAGGCCTCTAGTATGCATATAAGATCTTTGTTTAATCTCTTCCCACCCACTTCCCTCTGAAAATTGTCTGTTCCATTTCCATGCCTCTGATTATATTTTATTCACCAGTTTATTTTGTTCATTTAATTTTTTATTCATCCATTTTTACTTTTAGGTTCAATTGTTGATAGGTATGTATTTGTTACCATTTTGTTGTTCATATTTTTTATCTTTTCTTTTTCTTCTTCCTCTTAAAGAATGCCCTTCAACATTTCAGATAATACTGCTTTGGTGGTGATGAACTCATTTAGCTTCTTCTTGTCTGTGAAGCTCTCTCTGACCTTCAATTCTAAATGAGAGCATTGCTGGGTAGAGTAATCTTGGTTGTAGTCCTTGCTATTCATCATTTTCAATATTTCTTGCCTGCCATTCTTATCTGCCATGCATAGTTTCTGTTGGGAAATCAGCTGACAGTCATATGAGCATTCCCATGTAGGTAACTAACTGCTTTTCTATTGCTGCTTTTAAGATTCTCTCTTTGTCTTTAGCCCTTGATATTTTAATTATTATGTGTCTTGGTGTGGTCCTTTTTGGGTTGCTCTTGTTTGGGACTCTCTGTGCTTCCTGGGCTTGTGTATCTATTTTTTTTTTTTTTTTCACCAGATAGGGGAAATTTTCTGTCATTATTTCTAGGTTTTCAATATCTTGCTCTCCCTCTTCATCTGGCACTCCCATAATGTAAATGTTGGTACACTTGAAATTGTCTCAGAAGCCCCTTACAC